AAAAAAAAAAAAAAAAAAAAAAAGGACATTGGATTAGAAAGGAAAAAGTAAAATTATCTCTATTTGCAGATGCCATGACCTTGTGTATTGAAAATCTAAGAAATCCACTAGGAAACTACTAGAACTAATAAACAAGTTCAGGATGGTTGCAGGATATAAGATCAACATACAAAAATTTGTTGTATTTCTATACATTAGTAACGAACAAGCTGAAAATGATATTAAGAAAATCCCACTCACAGTAGCATCAAGAAGAATAAGATACTTAAGAAAAAATTTAATGAGAGGAGGACAAAACTTAGACTCTGAAAATAACAAAATGTTGAAAGAGGATATTAAAAATATGGAAAAACATTCCATGTTCATGGATCAAAATAATATTAATATGGCAGTACTCTAAAATGATCTACAGATTCAACAGAATCCTTTTCAGAATCCCAGTTGGCTTATTTATGGAAATTGGCAAGCTGATTTTCTAAAATTCATATGGAATTTCAAGGGACCCTGGGTTGCCAGAAAAATCCTGAAAAATAAAATTGGCAGACAACACTTCTGAATTTCACAACTTACTACAAAGCAACCGTAATCAGTACAGTGTGGTACTGGCCTAAAGATAAACATATAAATCAATGGAATTGAATTGAGAATCCAGAAATAGATCCATGGGTCTTTGGTCAACTTATTTTTAACAAAGGATGCCATGACCATTCAATGGGCAAAGAATGGTCTTTTCAACAAATGGTGCTGGGACAATTGGATAGCGACATGCAGAAGAATGACATTGGATTCTTGGTATTAGTTTCGCAGGACTGCTGCAACAAATTATTACCAAAAACTGGGCGACATTAAAAAACAGAAATGTATTCTCTCACAGAGACCTAGGGATAAACCATGACCTTCAACTTTGCAATGTATTCTTAAATATGGCTCCAAAAGCATGAGAAACAGAAGAAAAATAGGTAAATAAGTACCAGCCAGCTGCCAAAAAAAAAAAAAGAAAACTAGATAAATCAGACTTCATATAAAGTAAAACCTTTTGTGCTTCAAAGGACACTGTCAAGAAGTAAAAGACAATTCATAGAATGGGGAAAATATTTGCACATGTTTTGTAAGGGACTTGTTAACTAAAACATGTAAAGAACTCTTACAATTCTATCATAAAAAGACAACACAATTTAACAATGGTCTAAAGACATACTAATGGCCAATAAGCACATGAAAAATGCTCAACATCGTTAGACACCAGGGAAATGCAAATCAAAACCACAGTAACATATCACTTCACATGCACTAGGATGGCTAAAATCAAAAAGTCAGATAACAGTAAGTACAATGAGGATGTGGAGAAATTAGAATGTAAAATGCTGCTTTTGGAATGTAAAATGTTACAGCCATTTTGGAAAACATTCTGGCAGTTTCTGAAATAGTTAAGCACAGTGTTACTATATAACCTATCAGTTTCACTCCTAGGTAAATACCTAAGAGAAACAAAAACAGCCTCACATAAAAACTTGTACATGGATGTTTATACCAGCATTATTCATAATTGCTAAAAGGTGGAAACAATCCAAATATACATCAGCTGATGAGTGGATAAACAAATTGTGGTATAGCCATTGGAATATTATTTGGCCATAAAAAGAATAAAGTACTGATACATGTTGTAGCACAGATGAACTTTGAAGATATGCTAAATGAAAGAAGCCAGTCACAAAAGACTGCATATTCCATGATTCATTTCATGTGAGATTTCCAGAATAGGCAAATCTATAGAGAAGGAAAGTACATTGGTGGTTGCCTAGGGTAGGGGGAATGAGGAAACAGGAAGGCGTATAGCTAAAGAGTCAGGGTTTCTTTTTGAAGTCATGGAAACATTCTAAAATTAACTAGTTATGATTGCAAATGTCTGGATATAAACCATTGGATTTCACACAATGAATGAGTAAATCATATGGAATATAAGTTATATCTCAATAAAGCTGTTTCTAAAAAAGATCCTATTGCATGATTATCCTCCAACTAGTATTTAAGAGTTATGCATTGCTCCCATCATCAGATGAGTGGATAAGGAAAATGTGGTACTATCTACACAATGGAATACTACTCTGCTGTAAAAAAAAAGAATGAAATAGTACTATTTGCAGCAACATGGATGGACTTAGAGAAAATTATATTAAGTGAAATAAGCCAGGCACAGAAAGAGAAATACTGCATGTTCTCACTTACTTGTGGGAGCTAATAAAAATAAATAAATAAATATACAAACAAATAAATGGGGGGGGGAAGTTATGCATTGCTGAAGCTAGATGGGGTGAGGGATCAGAGAAGGAAAAGAAAGAAGTAGCTGAGATTTTGCTGTTCTGGTGATTAAGTGATATGGCTGCCAGGGAATTTTTCTTCTCATTCTTATTCGAAGAGCTAAGGAAATAGAAGTGATTCTTGTTCTGAAGACAAGCAACTTGTGTACATTTTAAAACACGACTTTGGGTGTTTTGATCTTGGTAGAAGTTTTACCTAACTTTAATGGGATTTTCTCTTAAGTTCATAAATAAAATATGAAGGCCTAAATACAATCTCTCTTGTTTTTCTCCTCCCCCACCCCTTTTGTACTTTAAAGGGAATTTACACTGGGAGAGTACTTACCCTTCAAGAATTATTGATCCAAGTTGGGAAGTTGAATGCTGAAGCTGTTAGAGGTCAGTGGGCCAACCTTTCATGGGAATTGCTTTATGCCACTAATGATGATGACGAACGTTATAGTATACAAGCTCATCCACTGCTTTTGAGAAACCTTACGATACAAGCAGCTGATCCTCCTCTGGGATATCCAATTTATTCTTCAAAACCTGTCCATATACATTTGTATTAGAGCCCATTTTGACTTGTAAATGTAATGTCATCAAATAAGGTGTTTTCATTTTTCCACCCTAGAAAAGTAACACTTCACTGGACATTTCCCTGCCCCAAGTCAGATGCCTGAGAAAAGCTAAGCTCCATCAATTTTAGTTGATTCTTTTAGCCATCTTAATGGTTTAAAAAACAACTTTATGTCTAACATAAAAGTTTCAACTAGTTGGCCAGTATTTGTGCCCTATGGACTGTGGTAGGCTTTGGTAAATATGATAAAACATTTGTATAAGATTAAATAATGAATTTTTCAGTGCTTTGTTAAATGTCCGATAGGTGGCTTGTCTTACAAAAGACAAACAGCTATGTAATTTTTACACACTTAAAAGATATACATATCTGTGTTTTTAAGTAATGATAATGGATCCAACTGAAGGCTAACAATGCGTATATATAGATATGTTTATTTAAAATATAATTTGTATAGTATTTCAAATGTGCTGTTTTATTTTAACACTTAACATGGTCTGAATGTTTTCATATATTCATTTTGTTTTCAAATGAAAACAAAAAATGAAGTACAAATTTTGTACTTCAATTCAAAAACCTTAAAATTTTTAAATAAAATTTCTTCCAATAAAATCTTTTCCCTCCTTTTCAAATATTCTTTTGATATATATGAAAGGAGCAGGGTTCATCCCATTCATCATGTTAATACTCACAGGAAAAGCAATGTTAGTATAATGTGAGTATGACTACTTCAGGTCATCCCATAGATCTGACACCTTATGCATCTCATTACAACTGAATTTATTGCTTCTGAAGAATGACTTACCCAACAGTTAATACTAATTACTGGTGTCTTAAGGTATATGAACTAAACTCAGAAGGAGATGGAAGGGAGGAAAACTTTCATAATGTGATCAGAATTTTATTTTCATTCTCTTGGTGCTTAGGAACTTTGTACAGGTACTTATGAGGAGGATGAACGATGAATCTGCATCAGTTGAGACATGAATTTTCTCTATTTCTTACTTAATTTCCAGCTAAATCTGTCGGAGTCTCTTAGATTGGTAATATAGTAATGTACTCTCTTTAGAAGTATTTAAAATTATTTGAAATGTACCAGTCAGGTTTTTATTACTATAATTTTTCTATATATTTAGTATGTGGACCAGTTCACTCCAGCAATGTTGAAGGATAACTTTTTGGACTGATTTTCAGTTAATGAATTCATGAGATTTGTGTGTTAACTATTTTTTTGGAGGCAATATAGAATTGTTATTAAAATAGGGTTTTGCATTATGTCTGAGTTCAGATTTCAGGCTTAAGATTACATAATTGAGGTTTACTAGCTGGACAATTTTGTATCTTTTCTTGTCATGTGGGAAAATTTTCTCATGTCATTAAAAACACTTTGTAATGATCAGTTCTGATAAGTGCATAAAATTCCGTTGATAGAATTTATTGTACTGTTCCTCAAATAATGAAAATTTTAAGTTGTTTAAATATTATCACTATTATAATGCCAAGCTATGCCTTCCTTTGACCTTGCATCCTCCTCAAACTGTTCCCATATCACATCATTTTATTCATGGCTAGGTTTCCTCTTTCATTCACCTGTTAAATCATCCAGTCTGGATTCCATCTCTACTACCCACCACCAATTAAAAAAAGTTTTCATTAAGGTCACTATTGACCTCCACATTGTAAAACCAGCTGGTCACTTTCATGTCCTCATCTTACTTGTCCTCTAAGTAGGATTTGGCACATTTGACTGCTTCTTGAATCACATTTTATGTTTTCTTTTGGACTTGCCTGACATGACATTATCTTTTCTTTCTGTATTCTTAGCTACTCCTTGTAAATCACCTTTGCTGCTTTTCCTCTTCTACCTGACCTCTAAATTTTGGAATTTTTTAACAATTGGTTTCTGGCTCCCTCTTCTTAATTCTACATTCACTAAACACAATCTCATCTGCTCCCGAGATTTAAGATATTATCAATAAATTGATAATCTTCAAATATATATACCTAACCTAGTCTCTCTATTTACATTGAACCTATTAGACCTAATGGGAGAGACAGACTTCAACACACTAATTGCTGGGAACTTTAATATCCCATTTTCAGCAAAAGACAGATCACCCAGACAGAAAACAAACCAGGAAACATCAGAATTAACCTCTACTATAGGCCAACTTGACCTAACACACTTTTATAGAACATTTCATCCAACAGCTGCATAATACACATTCTTTTCAGTAGTACATGGAATGTTCTCTAGAATAGACCACGTTAGGCCATAAAACAAGTCTCATCAAATTTTTAAAACTCGCAGTCATGTCAACTACCTTGTCTAACCACGATTGAATAAAACTAGAAATCAACAACAAAAGAATGCCAGAAAGCAAATGAATACGTGGAAATTAAACAGTATGCTTCTAAAAGAACAAATAGGTCAAAGAAATCAAGGAGGAAATTAAAAATTTCGTGCAGACAAAAGTAAAAACACAATATACCAGAACCTATGGAATATAACAAAAGCAGTTTTAAGAAGGAAGCTTATAGCAATAAATGCCCACATCAAAAAAAGAAGAAAGACTCCAAATAAACAACATAATGTTATACCTCAAGGAGATGGAAAAACAAGAACAAACCAAACCCAAAATCAGTAGAAGGAGAGAAATAACAAAGATCAGAGCAGAAATAAATGAATTTGATACTTTAAAAAAATACAAAAGATTGATGAAACAAAGAGTTGGTTTTTCAAAAAGATAAACAAAATTGATAAACCTTTAGCTACAGTAATGAAGAAAAAAGAGAGAAGACTCATAAATAAAGCAAGAAATGAAGAAGACATTATAACTGATATCACAGAAATACAAAGGATCCTAAGAGACTAATACAAACAACTATATGTGTACAAACTGGAAACCTAGAAGAAATGGATAAATTCCTGGATACATACAACTTACCACAGTTGAATCATGAAGAACTAAAAAACCTAAAAAGAGCAATAGCGAGTAATGAGATTGAAGCAGTAATAAAAAGTTTTCCAACAAAGAAAACTGCAGGACCAGATGGCTTCGCTGCTGAACTCTACCAGAATATTAAAAGAAGAACTAATACCGATTCTTTTCAAACTCTTCCAAAAAATTGAAGAGGACGGAATACTTCCACACTCATTCTGCACGGCCAGCATTACCCTCTTACTAAAACCAGAAAAAGACACAACAAAAAAAGAAAATGACAGACCATTATCCATAATGAACATATATGCAAAGATCCTGAACAAAATACTAGCAAACAGAATCCAGCAACACATTAAAAAGATCATACACCATGATCAAGTGGAATTCATCCCAGAGATGCCAAGATGGTTCAACATATGCAAATCTGTAAACATGACACATCACATCAACAGAATGAAGTAAAAAAAGCTATATGATCATTTCAGTAGACACAGGAAAAGCATTTGAAAAAATCCAACACCCTTGATGATAAAAACACTCAACAAATTAGGTATGGAAGGAATGGATCTAAACACAGTAAAGGCCATATATGACAATCACACACCTAATGTCATACTGAATGGACAGAACTTGGAGGCTTTTCCTGTAAGATCTGGGAGAAAACAAGGATGTTCACTTTCCCAGTCTTACACAGCATAATCCTGGATGTTCTAGCCAGCACAATAAGGCAAGAGAAAGCAATAAAGGGCATCCAAATTGGAAAGGAAGAAGTCAAACTGTCCCTATTTGCAGATGACATGATCCTATACACAGACTCCACCAAAAAATTACTAGAACTAATAAATGAATTCAGTATGGTGGTAGGATGCAAAATTAACACACAAAAATCAGTAGCCTTCCTATATGCCAATAATGAAATAGCTGAAGAAGAAATCAAGAAAGTAATGCCATTCACAATAGCTACCCCCAAAATGAAATACCTAGGAGTAAATTTAACCAAGGAGGTGAAAGACCTCAACAATGAAAACTATAAAGCATTGTGCAGGGAAAATAGGATAATTTAGTCAGGCTCCCCTGGCTCAGGTCTGGTTGGGGGTCGAGCAGCACATTTCTTATAAACAAGTTGTGTGTGGGTGGAGTTAGTGCGCATGTGCACCCATGTATCTTTTTAGTTTGATGCTATTGTGTGCTCTGTAGTTTGTGAAGCAGAGCTGGCAGGCAGAGCTCACATCTAAAAATAGAACATGTTTATTCTGCTGGCAGCTGCTCAGTTTTTCTTTGGACTTTGCTAGTAGCCGTGGAGTTTCTGAGTTTCTCTTTGTGCTGCCTAACGTGTGTGTGCTGAATAAAGACTATTCTTTCTTCAATCAAGGCTCCTAGGATCTTTTTGCCAGTTACCTAGGTCATAGACCTGCATGTGAAGGGTTTGTGAATGGGCTCGACTGGTTTGTGAGCTCCAGACCCTAGCTTTAGCTCTACACATTGGTGAAAAAAATTGAAGAGAACACAAATAAATGAAAAGGTATCTATCCCATAGTCATGGGTTAGAATTATCATCATCAAAATGTCCATATTACCCAAAGCAATCTACACATTCAATGCAGTCCCTATGAAAATACCAATGACATTCTTCACAGAAATAGCAAAAACAATCTTAAAATTTGATGGAACCACAAAAGACCCCATATAGCTAAAGATATCTTGAACAAAAAGAACAAAGTTGGAGTCATCACACTTCCTGAGTTCAAAATATACTATAAAGCTATAGTACTATAGCTTTTTATAGTATGTATAAAGCATGGTACTGACATAAAAGCAGACAAGTTGACCAATGGAATAGAATAGAGAGCCCCAAAATAAACCCACACATTTACAAACAACTGATTTTTGACAAAGTTGCCAAAATATACAATGGGGAAAGGATAACTCTTCAACAAATGGTGCTGGGAGAACTGGATATCCACATCCAGAAGATTCAAACTAGACCCCTATCTCTCACAAAAATCAACTCAAAATGGGTCAAAGACCTAAATTTAAGACATGGAAGTTTGAAACTACTAGAAGAAAACATAGGGGAAACACTGCCCAAAATGAGAGTGGGCAGCACAGGCAACTAAAGCAAAAATGCATTAATAGGACTACATCAAATTAAAAAGCTGCACAGCAAGGTACACTTTGAAGAGACAACCTACATACAGAACAGGAGATAGTGTTTGCAAAGTACACATTAGATGAGGTGCTAATATCCAGAATATATAAGAAATTCAAACAACTCAACAGCAAAATAACAAATAACCCAATTAAAAATGGGCAAAGGACCTGAACAGACATTTCTCAAAAGAAGACATACAGATGGCCAACAGGTACATGAAAAAATGCTCAACGTCACTGATCATCAGAGAAATGAAAATTAAAATCACAATGAGATATCATCTTACTCCAGTTAGAATGGCTGGGACCAATAAGACCAAAAAAAAAAAAAAAAAAAAAAAAAATTGCTGGCAAGGATACAGAGAAAAAGGAACTCTCTTTTATTGAGAATGTAAATTGTTATAGCCCCTATAGAAAACAATATGGATGTTTCTCAGAGACTAAACATAGATCTATCTACCCTATGACCCAGCTATCCCACTGCTGGGTATAT